GGCCCGTCCAGGAAACACACAGCCAGGCAGAGGAGCTCCGAGCCAGCTCCCATGTCAGAGGATGAAGAGAGCACATCCATTTAGTAACAGTCAGAAAAACAGGACTACACTGAAAAACAGGTTGCAACAGGCTCCAACATCTATGTTCTGGTGTTCTAACTAGAACTAAGAATGTGGTTTTAAATATTGTTTCCCAGTAGTTGGAGAGTTGTGGACAGAGACAAAACATCTAAAAGAATGAACCAACTTTTAATCTACATCTTGGGAAATACTGAGAGAATCTTTGATTGATTTATTTAAGCTTATCTGTAATACAATCTGTGTATCTGGTTGTATTCAGTCGGATTGTGTTCAATACTGTGGGAAAAGCTTTGGGCTTGTTTTCTTAATCACAATCTTAATCATCATGATCCTGTTTGTTCTCTAACCTCTGAGGCGGAAAAAGAACAGAAACCTTTTTTTTCCCAGGTTTTTACGGCACAAATGGCTCGTTTTTTGTAATAGGAAAGGGAGTATGAGAGAGAGGGGAAGAAACATGCGGCAATGCTGTCTGATTCAAACCCAGGTCGGCCGCGTTGAGGACTAACGCTAAGTATATGGATTACTAACCACTGCGCCACCAAAGCACGTCCAGAACAGGTACATCTCTAACGAGGTTCAATTAAATACAGGATTTTGTTATTTTAATTAGGTGACCTTGAAAGGTCATGATGCATTTTATTTCAGGTAATCTTGGTGAAAATGTGGATAAAAACAAATACACACTACATTTGTAGACCGTAGATCGGGTCTAAGCTCAAAATAATGCACTTATTTTGAACTGGCAGCGAAAAACTTTTTGAAGGTTATTCATTAGGTTATAAGGAATTATAATCAGGAAGTGACTGAGTAGTTGTTCTTACTTTCATAGCAAAGCCCGAAGGCATCATGTTCTTGGGCCATTCAAAGTCTGTAGAGTGAAAACGGGTCCCAGACTCTATCAGGAGAACAGCTTTGCTGTCCGGCCTGAAACAGCAACAAAAAAACAGGGTTAACGCTCCTGGCTGATAAACCCACTCCTGTTTTTTGTGTGTTGGTGTAATAAACTCTGATAAAATAAAGCAAAACTCCAACTATTACATAGTCATCAAGGATAATATACATTAATAATAATAATAATAAATGCATAGCCCAAGACAGAAGAGAGACCTCCTCGAGACAAGACTCAGTACATCTATACCTTATAGACAAAAGACATTCTTTTGAGGACCAGAATGTTCATATTTTGGACAAAGAAGACAGGTGGTTTGAGAGGGAAGTGAAGGGAGTTAATGTTAAGAAAGAAAAAACAACCTTAAACAGAGGGGGGGGGGGACTCAGGTTTCAGCTTTCAAAAACTACAATACAGCGATGGAGATGATTCCTTCCCACTGTCATCGAAGCCCCAACCCCTTTACAGGGAGAACAGAAGACCTCGTCTATTCAGCCAGGCCAACTATTCCCTTTAACGACACCCCTTTCAGAGACATAGACAGGTATGGAGCATTGCAGGCTAACTAAAGGATCCAAACGACCCCCATTCAAAAGGGGTGGGCCCGTTCTTCCGTTTCACTTTGCATGTTTTCTAAACAAAAACAAGGCTTTGTTGGGCTGCTTTATAAAACCTGGAACTAAACGCTATTTCTGACATTTTGAATTTAAAAAGCTTCCTAAGTGGGAAGAGAAACGTCTTAAAACTTGGAAACAAAGTCCAGTGGATTGTGTTTTTTAACTTTTTGTGAAAAGTAGTAATAATTTAACTTTACTGATCTCACAGTAGAGAAATTTATCTCTGCATTTAACCCATCCCCTTGGGGAGCAGTGGGCTGCCATTCTGCGGCGCCCGGGGGGCAGTGTGGGGTTAAGGGTCTGGCTCAGAGACCCCGAGTGGATGCTGTGTGGATCGAACACGGTATTTGCAACGTTCTCAGAGCACGAGCTCTCTGCTTTAACCACTATGCCAACACCCCCCGATAATCAGGTATGATTATTAAACCTGACTCTATTATTAACTCCACTGGATCGGTGGGCTTATTTACAACTAGTTCTAAGATGAACAACTATTTGATAGAAAGGCCTCTGAGATCTGAATCATTTCCCTTCGAATGGCTGCAACAAACTATTCAAACTAGAGCCTAGAGTTTTACTTTTTTTTTTTTAAAGTCGTAGGGAAGCTGCTGTTCCAACTGTTGCATTTCCGAATTCTCCCGAGCGGTGCCCAACTTTACATGAGTGAATAAAGTGAATGCGATAAGTTGTTTATCAAGGGGGCGGGATTGTTGTGGCTGAAGGTTCACAATCAAGTTTGGTTGTGGCCGGTTTGTGGGAAGCATCTTGCTAACCAGTTAGCA